GACTGTTCATATGAACACGTAGATGTTTATTAATTCACCAACTTCTATAAAGGTGATGACATGAATGCAGGTCTTATAACTGCATAAATTACATTAAACACTGACTTCAGGTCAACAGTATAAATCCTGTTTATTTGTGTTTTTGTTCGTAATGCACTGAAACGACACATTAATGAAATAATTTCACTATAAACAGGAAAACATACGACTATCCGTATGGATCCATGCTGAAGTCAGTTAACAGACAGAATACTGCATTAAAATTACTTTAACTGATTAACTGATGTGAAGGACACGTATCCCCACAGCGAGCTTCTGCTTGTGTTTACCGACCACCACGCTGACTGTATTCATCCTGGTTCTGACCACGTCTGGCTCCACTGATCAGTTCTATTAGAAACCTGAAGAACCAGCCGACGTCACCTTTGTTTCCTTTCTTTGTGGAAGCGGCGTTATCCGTTTAGGGCAGAGAGCGAGAGGGAAGCATCGTGGACCGAAAACAAACAGGCCTCCGTGTGATCGCATTAAAGCTGCTGTGTAATCTGATTACAGCCCAATAATTCCCTGGAAATTAGATCCAGAGTAGATGTTCATCTGAAATTATTGAACAGGTGCACAAAAAAAACTCACAAGGTTCTGGATCTATCGGGCCGCTTGCGTTGATGAGCCCGACTGATCTGAAGGCGTAATCGTGTTTGTTCACTCAGCCTAATAACGGCCTCGTGTCATAATGCACATTTCATGAGGCATTATTTCTGAATGAAAAAGCAATTTGGAGACGAGCTGGACTTCAAAGGTGGATCTGTGGGTTCACTGAGAGGAACTTGTTCATGTTTTATGATAATGTCCCAGATTTCATTCCAGTTTAACTTCCCTCCATTAACCGTGCTCCGGTTTTATTACACCAGCCTAATTAGCGTTGTTGTTGTTCCAGCCCACCTTCGGAGTTGTTCTTATTATGAATCAACGTCAGGAGCCCCGTGCAGGCTGTACCGGGCTTTTAATTGCAGAACGAAGGCTTTGCACTCAGAATGGAGTTCTGAGCAGCGCCAGGATCAGCGGCAACCAGATGGAAAAGGGAGGAAGAGAGACGCCGCATTGCAGCGCGTTATTATCTGCCAGGCAGCTGCCCACACACAGACACACACTCTGACACTCAGATGGCCAGACAGCAGCGAGGACCGAAATACTGCCAGTGAATCATCTGTCACATGTACATTGAACTGTTCCTCTGAGCAGCTCGATTCATGAACGCTCTTCACAGCGAAGACGCACACGGCTGCTTGTTGTAAAAACCAAAGGAAAAAAAACTGGCAAAGTTTCAACAAACATGGAGGTTTGTGTAAAAATCTGACAGAGGAAGCTGACAAATAGGCAGATTGTTATTTATTCATGTAGATTTTCAGGAAAATCACCCAGCACTCTGAACTTTGACTTGTTGACTGGGTGTCGAGGAAAAAAGGGTGAAAAAATTCCTATATTGGAGTTTTTTATGATCATTTTAATCGCTCCTTCCTGGGCACATGATGCACAGATGTTCATGCAGGATTTTTGGGGCTTTGCAGAATCTATTCTTATCCTCCGTCACAGGGAATTTTGACGTCATGAGAATAAACAATCACAAATGGAGTTTCATAAGACGCAGCTGGTGGCAGCAGTTGACCTGCAGCTACGACACAACAACCGGCCCCTGATGTGTGGACTTGTGTTGCTCGCTGGGTCGCCGAGGTGCTTTGAGGTGCTTTTATTGTGGCGGGACAAGACGCTCTGGGCAGAAAGGTGAAGCGCTTACCTGCGAGTCGGCGTTGAGGACTTTGATCCTCTGGGTGGAGATGAAGAGATCGACCTCGGTGAGGGTCTGAGCGTCTCCGTCTGCACTCTGAGGAAACATGCAAACAGAGGAGGTGGTCAGACTTTTCCTGATCTTTGAAAGGCGTCACTGTGAACGCGGCGGTCTGAACGGTGTCTGTTTGGAGAGTCTCGGTTCAGCTGTGCATGCATGTTCAGTCTAATGCCTGGTAGATGGACGAGCTACTGAGTCTAAAGGTGAGGTGGAAAAGGCAGAAAAGGAAAGCGTTTGGCAGCGGTGTTGGTTTACATCGACCGTCCTGGCACGGCGATGGCGAGCTGGCACGGAAACAGAACACAGCTTAACACTAAAGCCTGACCAGCTGGCTGTTACACCAGCGAGAGCACGAACAGGCCTGCACACACTCCCTCTAATCACTGCACACTAATAACATCATATTTGTTTTAGTTGAATTAAAGCGGCCTTATGCATTTCAAATCAGGCAACAGCGATAAAGAAATAAAACACATATTGCTGTAATTAAATATTTTATTTAATAAATGGCGGAGCGTTAATCAGAGACCTGTGACTGTCGAGTTACAGACGAGCACAGAAACAGAGGACAGGTTTGGCCATCGGGCTGCTTGTTGGTGTCGTGGAGAAGCTTTTGCTTGGTTCATGAGAACAGGTGATAACTTGCAGGTGTGAGTTTGGACCCAGCTGGACAGCGACTGTTCTACCGACGGATTTAATGCACGACGGTTTACAAAAGTCACTTATTACAGGTGAAATAAAAACCTGCCTCCTCTGTGTGATTAAAGCAAAACAACAAAGCCGTCCTGTGATTCTGATGCTAGAACCTAAAGTTTAAAAGAGAAATGTTTGACTAAAGCTCTTTGAAGCTCTGCTCGTTATTCACAGCGTTAAGCTGAAGACGCTGCTGGTTGTTTACAGACGATCCGTCCTGCGTCTCAGCATCACCCCAGCTTAAAGAAGCAAGACGTAAACTGAGAATAACACTGAGAATTAGTTCCTGCTTTAGACAGTTCATCAATCAGGCATTCACTGAACTATAATCTGCTAAATGCACAACTTACATCAGCTTGTAACGACAAAGTATGGAGTAAAACTTAAGTGATGTTTTTGCTTTTTTGTGATCCTACGTCTCTGACCTTGTGCTTCATTCACATGTCTGTTGTCGTTTCGATTATCTTGGGATATTAATATGCGGTAACCGTGCCAACCGGCTGACAGACATTTTATTGGCTCCTCACTCCAACACTTGAAGCTTCTTCACTTCAGGGGAGCGATTTAAACTGGCTTTAAAATGTTAATAACAGCATGTGCATCACTTAAACTGCTGTAAAGTCCAGCTCTCAGTAAAACAGAATAAACGCAGGAGTCAGCTACAAATTCACTAATACGGTGTAAGATCTGGATGCAGTTTAAACTCTGTCACTATACAGACACAGAATTATGTCCAGCTCTGTCTTACAGCTCATTGCACAGGCTGATGCACAACATGTCGCTGTAGTAAGAAAACCCTGAGATATAAGACGGTCTGGAGCTTATCTCAGCGCCCTGCTGACCGCTCTTCTGTTACCATGTGGTCACAGTGGCTGCAAATAAATTCCTGTCAGTGAGCTGTTATTATATTTGCTTTCAGCAGCGCCTCGTATCACAGGCGAGATCAGTTTAACCCTCTGAACCCCGAAGCTGGTCGGTGGGTTTGGACGGCTTGCTGCTAAAAACCGCCACACCTGCAGCAACATGTTAAAACAGAGAGAACGAGCTGATTTCAACTTTCCGACGGTCCTTGAAGTAATCACATGAGAGCTCCATCGAGTAAATGAATCAAATACGAGCTTAAAAGTCTCATAACTGTTTCTCTAAACTGTTTGCTCAGACCAGATGCTGTGAAAATATAAAACCTGCGCTCCTTGGATCAACTACGAGGCGACGAGTGACGTCATGTGACAAAAATGTTGATCTCTGTGTTTACAGACAGAAAACAGCAGCAAATTAAAGATCCATCGTACGTAAAGTCCACATGTTTTAGCAGAACCAGAAACACCTGTGGGCACTTCCATTTAAATTTAAAATAGTTTAAATGTGTTATACTGCACATGTGCACTCATTTTAAATAAAGTTATTTGAATTGAATTGAGTGTAGAACTACAGGACTTTATGCTGCAGTGAAAAATGACCCACAAGTGAGTAAAAAAAAAAAAAAAAGAAGTGACAGGAGCAAATAAAACGCCCAGAAACCGATCGGGCTTCAGGGATTAGAGCATCCTTTGACAAGAACATTTTATGACGTGTCTAGTTAAGGTGTTTGGTTCCAGTTTTGCTGGTATTGAGGAAATTTAAATGGCATCACTGGAACGAGTTATAAGCCCCAGAGTTTGAATAATTCTGCCCCCTTTAGGCCAGAAGATCTGCTGAACTCAGTGCATGAAGTTGTGCCGACACAGATGGTCGAGGAAACACAGACAGGCAACAAACAAAACAAATGTAATGTAAAAAAAAAAAAGAAAAAGGAAAAGGTGTGAGTGGAAGGAAGGTGGCCAGAATGTCTTCCTGTTGCTCTGGTCTTTACACACCGCCTTTTTCTTGATTTTGGCAGCCTTCTGAACCCTCTGGCAGGCAGGCAGGCAATCAGGCAGGCAGGCAGGCAGGCAGGCAGGCAGGCGTTGGGACGGGACAAGGTCAGCGGACACAGGAGCACAACAAACAGGAGGAAGAGGAGGAGGAAATAAAGAAGGTAAATAAAAGAAGGTAAGACAGTACAGGCCCCAACCAAACGGCAGGTGTGCTACGCTGCTCTCACAAACAGGGAGAGGGACAGACAGAGAGAGAGAGGAGTGTGTGTGTGTGTGTGTGTGTGTGTGTGTGTGTGTGTGT